TTTTTTTCTAAGGAAATTAAGGCAGTATAAGGTAAAGATTTTAAAAACAGATAAACATGATTCTAATGCTGAAGTAACTATTAATCTCATTTTTTTTTTACTTGAGAGGCAGAAACTCGGCCTCCAAGTTTGATTTTTTTTTTTTACTTTAGTCAAATAAAAATATCATAGTAATAATCCATTTTTTTTTTGTTTGCAGTTTGTCTCCCTAAACATGAAGCCACATTTTTTTTTTTTCATTGTTACTTAATCTCTATTATTAGATGCTCTAATTTTTTTTTTTGGATTCTAACAGCACTCAAATTTCTCTCTCTCACCCTCTCTCTCTGTATGTGTGTGCATGGTGTGTGTTTGTTGGGGGTTGTTTTTTTTTTTTTTTGAGTGTTAGAGGTGGTAAGGAGGATCGCCAGGTTTTTTTTTTATACAGAGTATTTTAAGTAGGATAATCTGGGATCCATTTTTTTTTTTTGTATTTACCAGTGTTCACTGTTAGATCATAATTCTTTTTTTTTTGACTGTGAGAGCTAATAATTCAAAAGCTAAAAGCTCAGAGTACTAACTGAGCTCGATCACTGACTTGAGCTATTTTTAGACATTTTTTTTTTTACAAATGGCAGCATCGAAAGTGGTTTTCTCCTGTGTTTTTTTTTTTTTTCACTTCTCAGAGGTTACCGCCACCAGGTTATGTTTTTTTTTTAGCCAGCAATGAAGAAGGCGGGGTAAGTACAAGTAATTTTTTTTTTTCCACTAGAAATTACAATCTATTCACCACTGCTTTTTTATCCACATCTAATAAAAAAGTTAAAATCCAACACATGAACTTGTTTTTTTTTTTTCCGTGATTTTTAGAAAATAAAAAAGTGAAACAAATTTTTTTTTTTGTCCAAAGATTGATGCTGGACTCCAGACAGTGATAATTTTTTTTTTAAAGTAAGAGTTTCTTAGAATGTTATCCTCAAGAGGTTTTTTTTTTATATCTAACTTCCTGATTATATTAATACAAATAAATTTTTTTTTTTAAAAGATCAGTTACTACTCAATTTCACTTTTAAGTTTTTTTTTTTTTGAACCCAGCACCCAAGTCTTCTGTTACTCTGTTCATTTTTTTTTTTACTATACCACACTAGGAGAAGAACCAAATGTATATTTTTTTTTTTTTCCAGCACTATATCATCTAAAAAGTCATTTTAGTGTTTTTTTTTTAGCACCCCACCCCCCTGGAACTTACTGTTTTTTCCCTTTTTTTTTTATATGTCTTCAGTGAACTGTGGTAACTTAATAGCTTTTTTTTTTTTTGGGGGACAGACTGTTCTTTTCTTTTTTTTTTTTTTTTTTTTTTTTGTGGGACATCACTTGAGCCTGGGGGGTGGAGGTTGCTTTTTTTTTTAGCACCACTGCACTCCAGCCTGGGTGACAGAGCGAGTTTTTTTTTTACAAAAGAGAGGTTGGCATTACTTGCTCTCTAAGAGTTTTTTTTTTGCTTTAAGATTATGTATATATGCATTTTGTAAGTAATTTTTTTTTTCTCTCACAATCTATTGTTAGCATAGCAGCCAGAGTGTTTTTTTTTTAACAATAGTCTAATCTTGTCGCTCCTCTGCTCAGTCTTTTTTTTTTCTGCCACTTTCTTGTCTTTCTTTCTTTTCTTTTCTGTTTTTTTTTTTTTGTTTTTTTGTTTTTTTGTTTTTTTGGTTTTTTTTTTTTTTTTTGAGTCTCGCTCTGTCACCCAGGCTGGAGTGCAGTGGTTTTTTTTTTGTTCACTGCAACCTCCACCTTCTGGGTTCAAGCAATTTTTTTTTTTTACCTCAGCCTCCCGAGTAGCTGAGATTACAGGTATTTTTTTTTTTGCCTGGCTAATTTTTGTATTTTTGTAAAGATGGGATTTCACCATGTTGACCAGACTGGTATCTGAGGTGATCCAGCCACCTCTTTTTTTTTTAGTGCTGGGATTACAGGCATGAGCCACTGCACCTGGTTTTTTTTTTTCTTAAAATAACATTGAAGATGACTGTGTCAGTAATTTTTTTTTTTGCTTGTTCATAAAATAACATTGAAGATGACTGTGTCTTTTTTTTTTTAAGGTGCTTGTTCATAAAATAACATTGAAGATGACTTTTTTTTTTATGGTATAAGGTGCTCTCAAATGTATCATGAAATAATTTTTTTTTTAAATGATTCAGATAATTGTATGCAACCTAGAAACTGTTTTTTTTTTTTTTCATATGCGTAAGATAAGAAAGGAAGCCGAAAGATCCAGGCAGTTATCATAGGCTTTAAGAAGCCTGTATTCAGGCCAGTTTTTTTTTTCTCACACCTATAATCCCAGCACTTTGGGAGGCTGAGGCGGGTGGATCACTTGAGGTAAGGAGTTTGAGACCAGCCTGGCCAATTTTTTTTTTTCTACTAAGAAAACAAAAATTAGCCGGGTGTGGTGGTTTTTTTTTTTAATCCCAGCTACTGTGGAGCCTGAGGCAGAAGAATTTTTTTTTTTCAGGATGGGGAGGTTGCAGTGAGCTAAGATCTCAGCTTTTTTTTTTAGCCTGGGTGACAGAGCGAGACTCAGTCTCAAAAAATTTTTTTTTTAAGAAATCTGAATTTAGATAGGCACAATGGCTCACATTTTTTTTTTAACACTTTGGGAGGTTGAGACAGGAGGATCACTTAATTTTTTTTTTTCAAGACCAGCCTGGGCAACAGAGGGAGACTAAAATTTTTTTTTTTCAAATATGGTGGCATGCACCCGTGGTCCCAGCTACTTTTTTTTTTTAAGTGGGAGGATCACTTTAGCCTGGGAAGTCAAGGCTTTTTTTTTTCCTGATCTTGCCACTGCGATCCACCTGGGCGACAAATTTTTTTTTTGTCTCAAAAACTAAGATGTCTGTATTCTACCGCTTGTTTTTTTTTTCTGATTTCCTGCATGATCTTGTTACTTCTTTACCTGTCTGTCTCATCTCCATCAACAAATGGGGATTAAAATACTTTTTCTTTTTTTTTTTTTTGTTTTAAAAGAAAAATCAAATGATTTAAATGCCATTTTTTTTTTTAACAAACATACTGACTGACAGAATTCGTGATGATTTTTTTTTTTTTTAAATGAAAATTTATTAAGAACATTCTCCACTCCTCGGTACTGGAAAACAAGGATGAGAAACATAATGTTTTCATTCCAAATTTTTTTTTTAGAGAATTAAATGGAAGAATCCCAGGAAAATAGGCAACTGAAATTCAGTGGGATGATTGTGATGACAGAAACCTGTACTGCTTTTTTTTTTTAGGAATAGGACCTAATTCTGCCCATGGAAGTCAAGACACAGAAGGTAGAAATCAAACTGAGCTCTGAAGGACGAGTCAAGTTTTTTTTTTTTATAAATGTGTCGGTGGAAGAAGTTTCAATATGAATGAGCTGTGTGCAAAGGCACTGAAACATAAAAAGAATAGAGAACACAGTTTTTTTTTTGTAGTTGCGATTTGCAACTGCATAAAGTGCAAGGGGTTTTTTTTTTGGCTGAAAGTAATAGTTATAGCCCAGATTATTATTATTTTTTTTTTTTATTATATAATATATAACACTTATTAGGCACTAAGTTTTTTTTTTTGAGCTGTACTCATTTTGTCCCATTTGACCCTCCTATGAGGTAGACGTTATTTTATTATCATCCCCATATTACAAATGAATATTTTTTTTTTAACCCACAATCATACTACTAATACTGGTGGAATGGGTTTTTTTTTTCACATCTGCCTAGAGCCCCACTCTTTAGCAGCATGTTTTTTTTTTTTGTATGTTATGCTAAGGGATTTAGAGTTTATTTTGTTTTTTTTTTTTTTAAATACAAATTTAAAGAGGAAAGGGGCAAATTTTTTTTTTTTTACTCTCAGCCTCTACTACTCTGATGGCAATGCAGAATTTTTTTTTTAGGAAAGTAAGACTGCATCCAGAGTAGCCAGTAAGAAAACTATTCTAACAGTTCAGGGGTACTGTGGATTAAGGAAGTGGGATTTTTTTTTTAAGCTTAGATTTTATAGGACCTGGTTATTAATAGTCTTTTTTTTTTAGAGAGAGCAGAAACTTGAGAAACTGTACAGATAGTTTTTTTTTTTGCTCAAATATAGAACATTGGAGGAGGAGATTTAGCATTTTTTTTTTCCAGTTCTGGGTGCATTCAGTTGGAGGTACTCATGATTTTTTTTTTGGGGATGTTTTGCTGCCTCAACCTTGGGTGGGAGTGTTTTTTTTTTGAATTATGCCTTTGGGAGTTGTTAGCATGTATGCCTTTTTTTTTTTTGGGCTGATGCAATAGAATTCTTCTTCTTTTATTTTTTTTTTTTTTTTGTTTTTGAGACAGAGTCTTGCTCTGTCACCAGGCTTTTTTTTTTTGGCACTATCTGGGCTCATTGCAACCTCCACCTCCTTTTTTTTTTTGATTATCCTGCCTCACCCTCCTGAGTAACTGGGACCTCAGGCACGCGCACCACCACACCCAGCTAATTTTTGTATTTTTAGTAGAGATGGGGTTTCACCATGTTGGCCAGGATGGTCTCAATCTCTTGTTTTTTTTTTCCGCCTGCCTCGGCCTTCCAAAGTGCTGGCATTACATTTTTTTTTTAAATCTTAAAAGAGATATGTAAAAAGAAAACAGAAATTTTTTTTTTATGGAAGATGAAATCATTAAAAACAAAACAAAAACCTTTTTTTTTTTAAGACCTAAAAAGAGAAAGCTGAGCAGTGGTCAGAAAAAAATACCAGAAGAGAGAACCAGAAAAAGTATGGTCATGGAAACTTTTTTTTTTTCAAATTTCAAGAAAGAAAGTAAAGCTAATGATGTTTTTTTTTTTTTGTGACTGATAAGATTTCCCTGTTATACTAAAAAATTCCAAGCAACACCATGGTGGGAAACAAAGGGTAATACTGATTTCCATTTTTTTTTTTACAGAATCCTTACTTTGGATATTTTGGATATCATGTTTTTTTTTTTCGCCCTCCTTATTATTCAGAAGAAATGTTTGAACATTTTTTTTTTAAACCCAAAGAAGAAGATCCTCCTAAAGCAGAAAGTTTTTTTTTTTAACCCACAGCTAATTCAACAGTTACTGAGACGAATTTTTTTTTTTTAAATCCTAAAGGGAGTCAGGGCGGAAATGACACCAGTTTTTTTTTTAACAGTATCCCAGGACCGAACACTGGGAACAACCCTTTTTTTTTTTATGGGATTGTCCCACTCCCTGCAGTCAACACTTCAGGCCAGGGAGGGCCAGGAAGTCAAATCCCATGGAGACCAAGTCAGCCTTTTTTTTTTGAAAATCATCCAAATCCTAATATAAGAAATTTTCCTTTTTTTTTTTGGTGGTATCCCACTGGTACTGCCATGGGGCACAGACAGAATGGGCCTTTTTACAGAAATCGACAAGTTCAAAGGGGTCCTCATTTTTTTTTTTTCGCTTGGGAAGGTAAACAAGTAGTTCGTCCAGGATTTTTTTTTTATCACAAAGTTTACCTTTCTACTTCAAGAGGCAATTTTTTTTTTTTTGCAGGAAATCCAGCAAATCTCAGAAGAAAGCCTCAGGGGCCAAATAAACACCCTATGGGAACTAATGTTGCCCCAGTTGGTTTTTTTTTTTGCCCTGTTGTTCACAATGAAAAAATCCAAAATCCAAGGGAGAAGCACCTGGGTCCAAAAGAACAAATAATAGTTCCTACAAATTTTTTTTTTAGCCCCGGGAGAAACTCTCAACAGTATGAAGTTAATTTTTTTTTTTATAAACTGCCTCACTCTGAGGGTTATACACCAGTCCCAAATTTTAATTCTGTTGATCAACATGAAAACTCCTATTACCCAAGTTTTTTTTTTAGAAAAGTACCAAATTCTGATGGACAAACCCAAAGCTTTTTTTTTTCCAAAGGGATGGTTTTAGCGCCAAGAAGGATCCCATTTTTTTTTTTAACTAATCAGCCAGAATTAAAGCACAGCGCATATCATTTTTTTTTTCACCCTGAGGAAATCCCTTCTGCAAAAGAACATTTTTTTTTTTTTTGAAATACTTGGGACCACCAAGAAATCTCTCCACCTTTTAAGGAACATCCTGGGAGGCAAGAAGAACATTTACCCCATCCTTCTTTTTTTTTTAGAGGAAGGGTTTTCTACCCTGAATATAACCCCTATTTTTTTTTTTAAAACTCACCATACCGTAGAAGCAATATATGGGATGTTTTTTTTTTTTCTCCCAATACTATGGGGCAAAAAGAAAGTTCACTTTTTTTTTTTAATACCCCAGACCACAAGGAGACAGTCCCTTATAATTTTTTTTTTTCAATTGATCCAACTGGAGATGAAGTCTTTCCTGGACTTTTTTTTTTGGGTGAAGAGTTGAGCTTCAAAGGGGTCCCAACAGTTTTTTTTTTTGAAGGTGAACAATATACCTCAAATCAGCCAAAGGAATTTTTTTTTTATTCTTTAGACAATCCATCAAAACCAAGGGAGGATTTTTTTTTTTTTGAATTCTACCCATGGAACCCGGATGAGAATTTTCCATCATATAATACAGCTCCTACTATGTCACCACCTACAGAGAGCAGGTTTTTTTTTTTTAATAATGCCATTAGACCAGAAGAAAGCAATCTATTTTTTTTTTTGAATTCCTGGGACCACAGGATACAAGCCCAAGGTCATTTTTTTTTTAGGCCATATTTTAACAGAAATATCTGGGATCAGGCATTTTTTTTTTAAAAAGCCCCAGCTAGGCCACCAGACCAGAAAGGTAACCAGCCCTATTCCAGTAACACCCCAGTTGGGCTTCAGAAAAATCCTTTTTTTTTTGAAGGTGAGGATTTGAACTATGGCATGCAAATGACTTTTTTTTTTTCTCCAGAGAGAGAACATTCATCTTTCCCTGACTTCATTTTTTTTTTTTATCCATCAGGTCAAAAAGAGGCACATTTATTTCACCTAAGCCAGAGAGGCTCTTGCTGTATTGGTAGCTCCACAGGGCCCTTTTTTTTTTCACTAGCTCTACAAGACTACACTCCATCCTATGGTCTTTTTTTTTTGGAGAACCAAGACACCAGTCCTCTGTATACAGAAGGTTTTTTTTTTAAGCACACAAGACATATCATCTCCCCAACAAGCACCCTACCAGGCCAAAGAAACAGCTCAGAGAAGATGGAAAATGAAAACCTTTTTTTTTTTGATGTGTCCACTCTGAGGAGGAACACACCATGTTCTTTTTTTTTTCAACTGGGCCAAAAGGGAATTATGCCATTTCCTGAATTTTTTTTTTTTCAAGCAAAGAATACACCTTGTCTCAAAAATGATCTTTTTTTTTTTGGGAACAACATTCTGGAACAAATTTTTGAAGACAATTTTTTTTTTGAAAGAACTGTTGACCTTACTCCTGAGCAGCTTGTTTTTTTTTTTTCTGATGAAGGCTCCAATCCAGAAGGCATCCAAAGTCAAGTCCAAGAAAATGAGAGTGAGAGACAGCAACAAAGACCATCTAATTTTTTTTTTTTGCCATGCTTTGGCTCCAAATTAGCAAAGCATCACTTTTTTTTTTCTGGAACTCCATCTAGCAATGGAAGGCAAAGCCCATTTTTTTTTTTTTCAATTATGCCTACTGAAAATCCTAACACATTGGTTGAGTTAGCTACTGGGGAACAATTTAAGAGTACAAATGCAGACCCATTTTTTTTTTGCGAACACAGTCCATTTGAATTCCTTCAAAGAGGGACCAATGCAGAGGACCAGGTACAAGACTGCTTACTACTTCAGGCCTATTTTTTTTTTCAACCAAGCATTCTTGGGGGGAAGAGAAATCACTGATTTTTTTTTTCAATGGTTCCCAAAATTTTTTCCCCAAGACTTAATTTTTTTTTTTTCTGTCTTGGTGATCCTTAAGTTTTCTCCCCTCTCAGTTTTTTTTTTAGCAATCCAGGTGGAGCTAGGAGTAGCAACCCAGGTGGAGCTGAGATTGGACCTCTGGGGATCACCAGATCTAGCACTTTCACAAATTAGTGCAGACCTTAAAAAAGCAAGAAGGTCATGACCATCCCTTTTTTTTTTCTTGGAAGTTACTTGTCTGAGTTAGTTTCCTTTTGCTTTTTTTTTTCTCCTTTTGCTCTCAAAGTTCCATTCTTGCAAAATTTTTTTTTTTTGACTGAAAGGCAGATTAACTTTCCATTCTACACATGTTTTTTTTTTAATCAGTATAGTCCTAATGCACTGTACATTTTTTTCTTTTTTTTTTCTTGTCAGGTTTTTTCCTACTCAATATTCTCTTCAATTTTTTTTTTCTTCCACTGCCACTCTCTTTACCTTTATCATTTCCTTTTCTTAGCTTTCTTCCTTCTTTTCTCTCTCCCTCAAACTTTCTGTTTTTTTTTTTCTATTCCTCATCTTTTTCTCTCTATGTATCACTTCTTTTTTTTTTTGCTCGCTATTTTAACCATTACTAGTCTTTTCTTTATTTTTTTTTTTTCCATTATGTCTTCCTCTCTTCCCACCTACCTGTTTTTTTTTTTTTTGTACCATTTGTCAACTAATCCCTCTCCTCTCTGACTCCTTTCTTCCCTTCAGTTTATCTTTTTCCCTGCTACACCATTTTCTTTTTTTTTTCATGTCACTCTCTTCCTTTTTGTATCCACTCTCTAAATCGTACCCTAATTTTTTATTGACCCAGCTTAACCATCATTATAGATTTTTTTTTTGAAATGGTAGACACTGATAGCTACTTTTTTTTAGTTTTTTTTTTTTCTCTACCAAGTAGACACAGTTCAGTTAGAGAGACGTTTTTTTTTTTAAGGGAAGATAGGATACCCAGGACTAGCAGCCTAGGGAAAAGGCTTAGGAAGGTGGAGAATGAGGAACTGAAGAAACTGCTGCTCTGAGACTGCACATCCAGGAAAAAGGACTAGGACTTGCCATACATTTTTTTTTTATAATCCGCAGGATCTGTAGAAGACATTTTGGGAAATTTTTTTTTTAATAAAAACTCAATGTTTAGTTATGGTTTTTTTTGTTTTGTTTTGTTTTGTTTTACTAATTCAACATAAGTGATTCTACCAGTTTTTTTTTTTACTAAACATTCTTCAAGTCCATGCAGAATTATTTATTTTTTTTTTTTCTTGGTATCTTGAATAAATTGTGTAAATTATTTTGAAAACTGGATATTTCTATATACCTTGCTTATAATACATCAGTGATTTTTTTTTTTATTAATAACATGTTGGCCTATTATCTGGATATCCCTTGCCTAGAGCAGGAAACATTCTCAGAATTGCCTAAAAGCATACCTTTTTTTTTTTTGAGATTTCTTGGGATAAATGTTCAGGGGCAGTCTTCTTTTTTTTTTCTCAAACATTTGGGGAAATACAATGTTGAAAACTTCTTTTTTTTTTGAATCTTGCCCTTGAAGCTTCTAAAGCACCTAGCACTTTTTTTTTTACATAGAAGGTACCCAATAAATATGTATCAATTGATTTTTTAATGACTTTCAAAACTCCCATGAAAACACCATAGTCTGCTTTTTTTTTTTTGCGACCATCTGGGATGCTGAATGAGCCACCACTCTGTTTTTTTTTTTATTCAGCAACATTTCCATCATAGAATTTCAGTGTATTTTTTTTTTTTAGAGGTAGATTATCCAGGCCATCCCCTAGTGCTTTTTTTTTTTTCCCCCTGGCCAGTTTTATATTTTAACCACACATTGATTTTTTTTTTAACTTATTCTGTATAAAACTGTCTTTTAAGAATTATTTTTTTTTTTTAAAAATGTTATTGTTTCACTAGTTTATTTTTCCAATTTTTTTTTTTGAAATCTCAATATGAGTACTTTCATTACAAGATACTCACTTCATATTTCACCAAAATGTATGGGTTCACATAATTGTTTTGTTTTTTTTTTTGACATATCTGAATTTATGAGACACTGCTGCTTAAATTTTTTTTTTAGATCGCTGCAATGTAAAATGTAAAAAGTATAGTATGACCCTTCCAAGCTGTCTTGAGCATAGGTAAATCTTTTTTCTAAAATTTTTTTTTTTGACCAAAAGAAAACATATTTTGAATTTGAAAACACTTTTTTTTTTGAAGGGAAAATGTCTCTCCGGAAAATAACTGTTTTCTTTTTTTTTTTTTTTTTTTTTTTTTTTTTTTTTTGTGAGATGGAGTTTTTTTTTTTTGCCCAGGCTGGAGTGCAGTGCCATGATCTTGGCTCTTTTTTTTTTCTGCCTCCCGAGTTGAAACAATTCTCGTGCCTCAGCTTTTTTTTTTGCTGAGATTACAAATGTGTGCCACTAGGCGTGGCTAAGTTTTGTATTTTTAATAGAGACAGGGTTTCACCATGTTGGTCAGGTTTTTTTTTTACCCCTGACCTCAAGTGATCTGTCCACCTTGGCCTCTTTTTTTTTTGGGATTATAGGCATGAGCCACTGTGCCCAGCCCAGATTTTTTTTTTTGTCATCAGCACAGGTATGCATTTGCAAGCCTGGATTTTTTTTTTTAGTTCCTTACAACCCAGCTTCCCTGAAGGCTCACAGTTTTTTTTTTTTAATATTTATTTATTTATTTATTTATTTATTTATTTTTTTTTTTTAGTTGTGCTCTGTTGCCCAGGCTGGAGTGCAGTGATTTTTTTTTTTCTCACTGCAACTTTCGCCTCCCGGGTTCAAGTGATTTTTTTTTTTTAACCTCCTGAGTAGCTGGGATTACAGACAAGGGACATTTTTTTTTTCTAATTTTTGTATTTTTAGTAGAGCAGGGGTTTTGTTTTTTTTTTTAGGTTGTTCTCGAATTCCTGGCCTCAAGTGATCCACTTTTTTTTTTCTCCACATGTGCTGGGATTACAGGTGTAAGCCACCATTTTTTTTTTATCTTTCATATTTAATCACAAATGTGTCTTATACTGTGTGCTAATTTTTTCCTGTGTTAGTTTTGCCTATAGAAGAAATAGGTTTTTTTTTTAAGTGAGACCCAGTTCTTATTCTTCTTATGTGGCCCTCATAGCACTGTGCTGAGTACAGAGTAGATTCTAAGTAAATACCACTTTTTTTTTTTTATGCAAATGAATAAAAATATAGAATTTCACCAAAATTAGTATTAATGTATTAATTAATATTAAAAGTTTAATAATGATTATTTTTTTTTTAATTATAAAATATACAGTCTTTGTAGAATATTTGGATTTTTTTTTTCTAAAATGTAAAAGGAAACAAAAAAATAACATTTTGTTTTTTTTTTCTCAAGTCTTTTCCCATGTATGTGTAGGGAATTTTCTTTTTTTTTTTTTTTGAGAGGGAATCTCACTCTGTCACCCAGGCTGGAGTGCAGTGGCAAGATCTTGGCTCACTGCAAGCTCTGCCTCCCAGGTTCTGGCCATTCTTCTGCCTCAGCCTCCAAAGTAGCTGGGACTACAGGCACCCGCCACCACACCTGGCTAATTTTTTGTATTTTTAGTAGAGATGGGGTTTCACTGTGTTAGCCAGGATGGTCTCGATCTCCTGACCTTGTGATCCGCCCGTGTCGGCCTCCCAAAGTGCTGGGATTACAGGCATGAACCACCGCGCCCGGCCGGGAATTTTCTTAAAGTCACTCCTTTATGCAAAATCCTACATTTTCCTCTTCCCATTGTATATCAATTTCCATAAATTTTAAAAAACATGATATTTCACTTCAGTTGTCTGTAAAATATTTTGAAATATCCCTATATTACCAATCCCTTGATGATGGACTTAAAGTTTCCTATGAATTTTCACTGTTATAAATCATATTATAATAGATATCTCGATCTCTCTTTGTCCGTATTTCTGGTTATTTCCTCAGAAGTGGAATTACCGAGGAAAGACGGTTTGAAGGATGTTTAGACAGGATAACATACTGACTGAGAGCTTTGGCTTTGGAGTCTGACAGCCTTGAAGCTAATCATCAGTTCTCCAGATACCTGAAAAACATTAGGCAGGTTACTTTATCACCCTCACAGCTCAGTTTTACCATTTGTAAAGTGAAGACAGTACTTACTTCACGGAGTGTTAGGAGAATTCAATGAAACAATGCGTGTTAAAACTGTATATTCATTGTATTTTGTAACTCAACCACTAGATGGAAGTGGAGCTTTATGATTATAAAGTAGTGGCTCTCCTGCAATTCCCAGCCTCAGTAGCACCTGGGGAATTTATGTGACCTGCAATGTCTCCAGCTGCATCTCTGAGCTACTTAATCAGTATTTCTGAGGTGGGGCTCAGCAATCTACTTTCATGAGCCCTCCAGGTAATTCTCATATACACTAAAGTTTGAAAATCACTGATCCTGCCGGGCACAGTGGCTCACACCTGTAATCCCAGCACTTTGGGAGGCCGAGGTGGGGGCAGATCACTTGAGGTCGGGAGTTTGAGACCAGCCTGACCAACATGGAGAAACCCCGTCTTCTACTAAAAATACAAAAAATTAGCCAGGCGTTGTGGCACATGCCTGTAATCCCAGCTACTTGGGAGGCTGAGGCAGGAGAATCACTTGAACCCAGGAGGCAGAGGTTGCGGCGAGCCAAGATCGTGCCATTGTACTTCAGCCTGGGCAACAAGAGCAAAACTCCGTCTGAAAAAAACAAAACAAAACAAAAAACAGAAAATCACTGATCCAATATATATTCACATATATTTACATTCTTTTCTTATTTGTTGCTTAGGCAGGGAGCAGAGTCAAAGAAAATTAACACATAATAACTGTAATTTATGGATTGTTGCTAATTGGTACCACAGTGGTAATAAGTGATATACACAGCATGCATCCTTATTTTTACAAAAATCTATGTAGTTATTTTTGCTCCCATTTTTCAAATGAGGAAGCAATCTTTGAATTAACTTGCCCAGTGTTACTTAGAGTATGTATTTCAATATAGACCATGGATTTATTCACTAGACTATACTGCTACCCCAAAGCCAAGACCTGGAAATCCCATTAAAGGACTTTACTCTTATTGCTAATTAATATAATTTTAATCTGGCTGGTGCTGAGTGTGCTTACCTGAGCAAATGGCTAACTTGTCAAGAACTATGCAGAAGAAAAACATTTCTTACCAATTGTACTTATTTATGCCTGTCTTTTTTAAATGTCATCCATTTAATTCAAATTAAAAAGTGGGGGCAAAAAGTACAAAAATTATAATAGACTTATGGCAGGTCAATGAATTGGTCACATTAACCTCAAAATATCTCATGAGGTTTAAGAAAATGTTACAGTGAACATGATTCTCTGAGAACCTCAACTGATATTTGTTAAGACTATCGCAGAGTGATTCAGACTTTTCATTGCCATTTACTAGATAAATGAACCACTCAAATGGCTAATTATCCACTTAGTTGGTTTTCTCATTTATAATATGAAATACCCAAAAAGTTATTGTAAGGATAAAATGAGATGACATAGATAAATCATTTGGTACTTGAAGAATACTGTCATTATTATCATCACTAAATCAGATAGGTCATAATTAGTATTGTGTTAATTTGGACCCTGCGGAATTGCAAGATGAGATTAGTGGGTGCAAGAGATTTATTAGGAAAACATCTGTGAGGGAAAATGGGAAGGGAGCTGAAGAAGGCTGAGTCATCGGATCCTGATGCAGGTCTTACCCATGTGGAGCAAAGAGGATAGGAAGGATGACTGGACAGATAATGTCTGGAGGTGCAGTGCTAAGAAATTTTCAGCTAAGATAATGAGCCCCCAAGTCAGTGCCCCATCAGAAGAGTCCTGTGTCTCCCAGGAACTGACCTGTCTTAGTGTCCCTTGCACAAACACAGTGGATCTCAGAACTATAAGTCAATTACATTCCTTGCAGAGAACTGAGAGGCTCCTTTCATGGCCACCACATCTTACACTGATTCCTTAGTGTGTCCCTCTAAATGTTCCACTAATACCAGCAAATGTTTGAATACAACTTTTAAAAAAGGCTTTAATGTATCCTCAATAACTCTCATTTAAGAGTCACCAGCTACTCTGGATTTATATTGAATCAGTTAATATTTATAAAGCACTTACATTGGTACCTAGCACACAGTAAGTACTAAATTGTTACTAATATGGTAGTATCAGAGTTTAACTGAACTTCTGAAAGAAGGAAGACTTGTGGGACTACAAATTGCAGTCTTCTTCCAGCTAGCATTTAATGAGGTAATAATGCTGGAATAGGGGTCTGTCCTATAAGGATCTGCAATGTGGATCTACAATACTTTTTCTACTGGGTACACTGAGAAACTAAGGCAAAGATGAGGAGAAAGTAAGGGGTCTCTTCAGAAGCAATCTCCCATGAATTATCATAGCTCTTTGGAAGCTATTTCTTTGCCTTCAGCAGGCTCTGTCAAATAATAATTCTTTATGTGTATGTCTTATCTCTTCACCTAAGCTATACTCATGTTCATTCATTCAACAAATATCTATTGAGTACCTCCATGTGCCAGACACTGTTCTAGATGATGAGGACACATCAATGGGCAAAAGCGTATGCCTTTGTGGAGATTACACTCTAGTGAGGGGAGACAGACCATAAACATGACACATAACTAAATTACATAGTCTGCTAGAGGGAGATAAGTACACGGGGGGAAGTAGACTAAGATAAAGAAATCGGGTTTGAAATATTTAAAAAGTAGTCAGGGTGGGTGTCACAGAGAAGATGACACCTAAGCGTGGTTCTGGGGAGTGAGCAGTGATAGTGACTTTCTCGAGGGCGCTTACCATAACTTCACCACCACAGACCAATCCTGTGCATTTGGTTAATATTTAATTAATGTTTACTGACTAAATGAAATTCAAAGACTTGGCTAAAACCACACTCAAGATTAAAGATCAGTCAAGAATGGATGTATCTTTAATACACCAAAACTGGGGTTTCTACCAAAACTGGGGTTTCACCAGAGTGTCCTATCCATATCCCTAAAGAAACACTGAATAATCGGTGGAAGTCACTAAAAATGACTATTACCATTTTTTTAAAAGAAGGAAACAGAACAATTCCTTTTCAAGAAACCAACTCTTACTAATAATTCTCCCACTGTTTAAAATCCGAATTAGCATTTACTTTCCATAGTACCCTTAAATATATATGTCAATTGGCCTTGGCTTTCTGCCATAAAGAAGTTTTATGTACCATGATAAACATGGTATTTATCAGGAGGGATTTTTGCCCTTTTATTTAATTATGGGTATAAAATGGCAAAGCCACCTCAAATATGTACATGTATGAGTTCTGTAATTAATGCATCGTTACATCATACTTACAAACCGTTCATCAATAATAGCAAGTTAACTTACATAAAGTTAACATGAGCAAAATTTGTCCAACAAATTATTTCACACAGGTATATGCTTATGAATCTATTTAATTGCTCAGACTGTGCTAGAGAATACGTACCAAGAAATACATATATTTCACAAGGTTCAGTTACAAAATGGATGGTTTCAAACGGGAATTTCTTACACTAACCTGATTATGAAAAAAAGAAGTCTGTATCATCTGCTTCCAAGTCTATTATGTCCAAATATATTTTTAATTATGCATTTATTTAGCTAGTTTTATAAATATTAGAGATTTCATCTTAAATTATTTTTGTAAATAGTTCTAGAACATGTTTTCCGATTATTATTTTCCTAATGAAGACATATATTTGACCTATGTTTATACATATGTATTCTCTACACAGTAAAACTTGTTTTAAAGAGAATAGTAAAGAAAATGCAGAAGCTCTGACTCTCCAAGACAAAGGCAAAAAAAAAAAAGAAGGGAGGGGAAATGTGAGGAACATTTTATTACACCTCCTGATTTTTACTCCTTGAGTTTTATTTTCTCCCCTTGTTTATTTGTTTAATGCTAGAAACTGTATTCCTAAGGAAGCATACCTCTTTCAGGTGAGCATGATAATTGGCAGATTTTGATACTTAGAGTGTGAATATATAATTAAGAAGTGATTACCTAATAAAGATAACAATGTGACTATTTTAATTATTTTGGTGGCAAGGAGTTGGTTTTACATCATCCAAAAAAAAAAAAAACCCTGGTTTCAAATTCATTGGTAATCAATATGCTAACTTTCTGAATCAAAATGGAGAGCCTCTCAAGAAAAAGAGCTATGCAGTCAGCAATGACTTAAATTAGTCAGGATAGCAGGAATCTGGGGTTAAGGCTGTTTGCACCATTTTGGTCTCACCACGATATGTGAGTGGGACCACAGCTGTGTAGCACTTGTTTCTGTCATAAGTGTAGCAGGTCTCTGTAGCACTGTCTTCATCACAGAGATTGCTCTGGGTAGCAGTAACTATCTGATTATCCAGCTCCACTTCTGTAGGATCACATTTTTTACAGCTGAAAAGCAAACACATGCATTAGACAATCCCCTCAAATGCTGTCTCAAAATGCGACTACACATTTCAATCCAAAATCAATTAGTTCTTGCAGCTCTGACGTGACAGCAAAGGACGACTCCTTTCAGACATAAGAAGCTCTACAATACAGAAGAGCTTATGGGATTTTCCAATCTTTAATGTATATTAGTTGAAAATAAGCAATATGATTAATGATGTGATAATACGATTATTTTATCTATACCATACAGCAATTTCTACTGTGTTAGGCTTATTCCCAACTGTATACCTGTTTAAACAAGTTATTTATAGCGACAAGAAAGGGAGAATTTTTTTTAAAAAATTGATGTTGGAGTCTGTCATTTCCAAAGAAACACCTGCCTGTTCATAAGATCAAATCTACTTATTGAACTATTAAGAGAAATTGGCCTTTCTATGAATGCCAATAATTTTTTCTTTAGAAAAAATGTATAGATAAATTTTATCTGTGACAAAGTTTTATGAATTTATGATACCTAATAATTAACATAGGAATTAATGTATTCAAAAGTTCAGATTATATTTGTAAATGTTTATACTCCAACATATTTTGAAAAACATTCTTACAAGGAAAAAATTAAAAACTATTAACTTCCACATCTATGTTACTATGGAAAAAAATATATCTTACAGGTCAGACAAATGGTACACAAATTTGGTTCTCAATGGTGAGGTGGGATCAGAGATATTCTCCCTGTTGTTCAGAGGAACACTAAAAGAAAATAAACAAAACAAAGTTAAAACAATGAAATACAGATATTGTTGTTTTTGGTAATAGGTATACTGCCACTATTTCATCAGAACAGTACTTATCATTGTATTTAGCACTCTATAAGCACTCTAGAGTAATACCATTACTCAGATTTTTATAGTAACTTGCTATGTTTTAAATATGTCTCATTCAAAATAAACCTCACAGCAACTCCGCTGTCAACTATCTTTGCTGACTTGGCAAATTTTTGCTTTTCCTTTAAAACTCAACTCAGGTTTTACCTCTGTAATAATTATATTGATGTTATCCTCACCCTTCAACAAACTTCTTCCTCTGCAGTCTCATTAATGCTCATATATATTTATTATATTGAATACCATATCATAGTTGCTTGTCTACAGAGTGGTTGCTTCCTTGGGCTATGTAAGTTCCTTGAAGTAAAAACATTTATATATTCCCAGTGCCTAGCTAGGTATGTGGCATATGGAATATGTTCAATATTTGTGAAATGGACAGACAGATACTATTATCCAGATTTTAGAGGAGAGGAAGTCATAAATAGGAGAGGTTAGTGGTCCACCCAAGTTCACACAAAAATTAAGTAGCAAAGCTGGAACTTTTTCATTGTGATGTCCTATGAAAAATTAGATAATGATTGTCAACGAGTTCAGGTGATTTCATTAACTTTAAAATTTTTTTCATCTAAGTCATCATTCCTTCTCATACGCCCCTCCCTACCAAAAGGAACAACGAAAAACTTGTGTTTCCTAACTCAGTATTTAGCAATACCATCCAAGCCAGAAACCTGGTTATCATACCTGAATCCCCCCCACCGTCACATATCTCCTCAATCTCACAGTCCGGTTGATTCTAATTATTTTCATGTGTGAAATCCATCCACTTGCCTCTCTTCTCATTATTACTGCCTTAATTCAGGACACCACTATCCTCTCCTAGATTATAACAATGTCTTCCTTTTGTCTTGACCCCTTCAAAGCACTGGTCACATTATGGCCAAACGTCCTTTCTAAAATGCAAGCTTAATTTCCTTCTCTGCTTAAAACCTCTAGCGTCTCTCCACAGAAAACAGGGTATCCTCAAAATAGCATAGAAGGCACATCCTAATATGCCCCTAACTCTCCAGCTTCATCTCTCACAATGTCACTCTCCACAATGCATGCCAGCTGTAAACAATCACTTGCAATTCCACAAACGTGCCATGCTTTTCTCATCTCCCATCTTAACAATAACAGTTCTAACATATAATACTGGTTACAGTGTGCCTGGTACTATGCTAAGCATATTATGTGATGATCTCATATAATCCTCACAGCAATCCTGTTTCCTTTTCCCGGAATGACCTGCCCCACCTATTAATTCTCTCACTCCCCACACACATTTAGCCAGCAAACTTCTATTGGGCTGACAGCCATCATCCATCCCACCACTTATTCCACACACCCTTTCCTGCCTCCCACTGCCACCCTTCTCCTCTCCCTGAGGATTGGACTGGGTACCCCTCCTCAGTGCTCCTATAACAACCCATGCCCGTTCCTATCATAGCACTTACAATACAGAATTGTAATTGCCTTTTTAATTGTTTAAGGTTTCCTGTTAGACTATAAATTCTCTTAAGAAATGGACTGTATTTTAAATAAACTGTTTTATCCCCACCGCCAACCCTTAATATTTGGCAGTTACTAAACAAACATTTATTGAATGAATGAATGAATCTATTCTTAACAAGACTGTAAAGATTCTAGTAATATCAGAAAAAGCTTTAAATAATGAGAAAGACAAGGTAATAAACATTTTTGAGAGGCTACTATAAGCCAAATGCTGTTCTTTTATGAATTATTGTATTTAATCCTCACAATCCTATAAAGTGTATGTGTATATATTCACACATACATACATAATTATCCCTTTTTTTAAAGTTTAAGAAAAAGACTTAGTTAAGTAACTTGCCCAAAGTCACATCATTTTAGTAAGTAATGGAGTTGGGAATAATACCATAATGGCAGGCTCGGCATGATGGCTCATGCCTGTAATCCCAGCTCTTCGGGAGGCTGAGGCGGGTAGATTGCTTGAAGTCAGGAGTTCAAGCCCAGCCTGGCCAACATGGTGAAATCCTGTCTCTACTAAAAATACAAAAATTAGCCGGGAGATGTGGCACGCACATGTAGTCCCAGCTACTCGGGAGGCTGAGGCAGGAGAATTGTTTGAACCTGGGAGGCAGATGTTGCAGTGAGCCAAGATCATGCTACTACACTCCAGCCTGGGCAACACAGTGAGACTCTGTCTCAAAAAAAAAAAAAAATAGCCAGGCATGGTGGCTCATGTCTGTGCTTTGGGAGGCCAAGGTGGGCAGATCACCTGAGGTCAAGAGTTTGAGACTAGCCTGGCCAATATGGTAAAACTTTGTCTCTACTAAAAGTACAAAAAAAAATTAGCTGGGCATGGTGGCACGTGCCTTTAGTCCCAGCTACTCGGGGAGGCTGAGGCAGGCGAATTGCTTGAACCCAGGAGGCAGAGGTTGCAGTGAGCCAAGATCGCAGCACTGCATTCCAGCCTGGGTGACAGGGGGAGACTCCATCTCAAAATAACAATAATAATAATAATAATAATAATAATAATACCATAATGGCACAGCAATGGTAATATACTTTCAGAAATCAGAACAGGGAAGATCAACACATCAGGCAAAGTGTCATGAAGTATCTAAATTATCTGATTTCAGTAAACAATATAATATAAAAAGAGTCATTTCATAAAATAAAAAGATGAATTAGAAGATCATGGAGAGCCATTTTAAAAATCTCCTGGAGGTTTAAACATAAGATAGACACTCTTCAACATGGCTTAAGTGCCAATGTCATGTATGCCATTCTTTCCAATTACCCACTACTCCAGCTGTTCTATCCCTAACATGAAGCTATGTGGGCAGGATCTCAGTGGTCAAAGAAAACCTGCTAGAGGAAGTGATGGCTGAACTAAGACATGCACATTGAGAAGGAGTTAACTAGGCTAAGAGGGGTGGGACAGAGTTCTTCAAACAGAGGAACTAACAAGTATAAAAGCACTGTGAATGTGGGGAAATAGAGACATTACAGCGGTCCTGAATTTATTTATTTATTTATTTTTATTTTTTATTTTTTGAGGAAGTCTTGCTCTTGTCCCCCAGGCTGGAGTGCAGCAATGATGCGATCTCGGCTCACCACAAACTCCGCCTCCCGGGTTCAAGCAATTCTCCTGCCTCAGCCTTCCGAGTAGCTGGGACTACAGGCACCTGCCACTACGTCCGGCTAATTTTTGTATTTTCAGTAGAGACGGGGTTTCACCATGTTGGCCAGACTGGTCTCAAACTCCTGACCTCAGGTGATCTGCCCGCCTTGGCCTCCCAAAGTGCTGCGATTACAGGCGTGAGCCATCACGCCCAGCCCCAGTAGTGCTGAATTTTTAAACATAAAGTAAAAGAAAAGTGGCAATGGATGATCTTGAGAGTTATGCTAAGCTTTGTAGGTCAGGCTGAGGCATTTGTAATACATCCTAAGATCAATGTTGGGGAAACCATCACAAGGCTTTTAAGCAGGATAGTGACAATAATTGGCACATAGATTAGGTGAATAAATAATAGTAAATATTTTTTAATATGTCCCAGAAATACATAAGCTCTAAAAGGAATATTCTCTATTTATTTTTACAATAATCCTATGAGTTAAGTGTGATTTTTTTCCTCATTTAAAGATGAAAAAGTTGAAGTTCAAAGTAGATAAGTAACTTGCATACAAGAACACACAGCTATTAAGTGTCCCAGACAGAACTTAAAACAAAATTCTTAAACACATTATACTTTTCCCATTGATTGAAAGGAATGGAATGCCTTGTTCTCTTTCTATAGGAGATTTGATTGGGGAAAAACTATTAAGGTAGGAGTGGTTTACAAGGAAAACTTATAACTGATTGGATCCAATAGAAATCTAATTTCTCAAATAGTATCAGCATTCTTGCTATTGAAAAAGAGCTATATAGCATATAACTCTGGACTGTGTGTGAAATGAAATGAATATCTGAAATCCAATCTAAAAGTGAGATCAAATCAAATTAGTTAATGTGATCAGTCTGCCTTATCTCGATGCAGACATCTGATTACAGTGTAAAAGACTCAGTTATCTATATATGGTACAAAATAAGACTTTAGTGTTATCTGCAGTTTCAGTTTGAACTGATCAAGGGCAACTGAAAGTTCTGATTCAAATTGAAATAACTTGGCCAGCCGTGGTGGCTCAGGCCTGTAATCCTAGCACTCTGGGAGGCCAAGGCAGGAGGATTGCTTGAGCTCAGAAGTTCGAGAACAGCCTGGGCAACATAGTGAGACAGAGAAAAATAAAAAATTATCCAGGTGTGGTGGTGCATGCCTGTAGTTCCATCTACTGAGGAGGATCACTTAAGCCTGGGAGTTCGAGGCTGCAGTAAGCAGTGATCTTGCCACTGCACTCTAGCCTGGGTGACAGAGTGAGACCGTGTCTCAAAAACAAGCAAACAAAAATAAATAAATAGAAATAACTTCATATAAACAGTGCATGCTGATGACTAGATAACAGCCTTTGTTTATAATTTGATGTAGCCTACTGATTTTAGATTGCCTATAATTTTTCATTCTTACCTCTAATTTCAATAAAATTGCCTCAAGCTCATTCACAAGATTCAATTCTTTACTGATGTAAAGTGCTACACAGCAAAAAGAGGAGTAAAGATGTAGGTATTACATTCAAACAATGCTTAGTGTCAGAAAGCATCTCTGCTTAGAACAGGAAAAAAAGGAATATGGAATGCCACATACATAATTCGGATGTTTCTCTCCACAATGTCCTCATTAGGATCTTCGGAAGAACGGATGATCCTGGAAGTAATCCGGGCACACTTACATTTGTTGTCAACAAGAACAATCCTTTCACCTTCTTGAGCTTGAAAGGTAAATGTATTACAAAGAAAGGAAAACAAATGTCAATTTATATATTTTGTATTGAGTTATTTTATCTTTCTTGCCTGCAGAAAAATAGTTTCATGGTTGCTTTGTCTCAGCTTTATCCATTTGTTCTCTAAGCAGAATCTTACATCACAGTGAAGGAAATCCAAAAGTACTCTAAAAGGAATTTTCACTTTTTTTCTTGAACCAGGGTATGGGAATCTGGGATGAAATAATTCTGATTTTCACATCCTTCCTGAACTCTCATTTGTACTTAAAATTTTTTTGTATAAATTGTATTATAGTTAAGAACAGGCATGTTTTCCTCCAAGATAACCTTATTTTGTATGACTTTTAAATACTCTCTACCACAATTATCTGCCTTTTCATAACAGATTATCATAGTACATAATTCAATAAAAAATAATAAAGACTAAATTTCTTATAAGAATTATTTTAAGCAGGGTGCCGTGGCTCATGCCTGTAATCCCAGGACTTTGGGAGGCCGAGGTGGGCAGATCACAAGGTCAGGAGTTCAAGATCAGCCTGGCCAACATAGTGAAACCCCATCTCTACTAAAAATACAAAAATTAGCCGGGCATAGTGGTGAATGCCTGTAGTCCCAGCTACTCGAGAGGCTGAGGCAGGAGAATCACTTGAACCCGGGAGGTGGAGGTGGCAGTGAGCCAAGATCGTGCCACTGCACTCCAGCTTAGGCAACAGAGTGAGACTTCATCTCAAAAAAAAGGAAAAAAAAAAGAATTATTTTAAAAGATAGAGTATGTATGACATAAAGTGCTATAAATTTGCAAAAGCAATTTGGAAATATTATGAGGTACAATCTCAATTGAATATGCCTGTATACATAAAAAAATGAATAAATGAATAAATATACATATGACCATTAAAGCCTTAACTTTGAATGTCAAAATTTATTGTCTAATCTGAATATTAGACAAAAAGTTCTGACAAGTTGTTTGTTTGTTTGAGATAGTGTCTCACTCTGTCACCCAGGCTGGAGTGCAGTGGCACAATCTCAGCTCACTGCAACCTCTGCCTCCTGGGTTCAAGCGATTTTCCTGCCTCAGCCTCCCAAGTAATTGGGACTACAGGTGTGCACCATCATGCCTGGCTAGATCGTTGTGGTTTTTTTAGCACAGATGGAGTTTCACCATGTTGGCCAGGCTGGTCTTAAACTCCTGACCTCAAGTGATCCACCTGCCTCGAGCCTCCCAAAGTGCTGGGATTACAGAGCCACCGCACCCAACCTTGATAAGTATTGCAAGGAATAAACAAAGGAAATTTTGTATCACCTGGATTTGGACTACCAGATTTTATTTTAATTTTCTATTTTTGAGACAGAGTTTCACTCTTGTTGCCCAGGCTGCAGTGCAATGACGCAATCTCAGTTCACTGCAACCTCTGCCTCCCGGGTTCAAGCGATTCTCCTGCCTCAACCTCCCAAGTAGCTGGGATTACAGGCATGTGCCACCATGCCCATCTAATTTTTGTATTTTTAGTAGAGACCGAGTTTCACCATGTTGGTCGGGCTGGTCTCGAACTCCTGACCTCAGGTGATCCACCCGCCTTGGCCTCCCAAAGTGCTGGGATTATGGGCATGAGCCAGAGTGCCCAGCAAATTACCAGATTCTAAAAATTCAATAATAGCTTTACATAAGTAATGCTATTAAATAAGAGTGCTAATTAATAATAACGATGATGCTGGCCGGGTGCAGTGGCTCACGCCTGTAATCCCAGCACTTTGGGAGGCCAAGATGGGTGGATAATGAGTTCAGGAGTTCCAGACCAGCCTGTCAATATGGCGAAACTCTGTCTCTACTGATAACACAAAAATTAGCCAGGCGTGGTGGTGCACACCTGTAGTCCCAGCTACCAGGGAGGCTGAGGCAGAAGAATCGCTTGAACCTCACAGGTGGAGGTTGCAGTGAGCTGAGATTGTACCACTGCACTCCAGCCTGGGCGACAGAGCGAGACTCCATCTCAAAAAATAATAATAATAATAACGATGATGTTAAACATGCTTTATTCGTATAATTTTAGCTAAGTGACCTTTAACAATTCCTCTCATTCAGCCTCAACTAAAAAAAAAAAACACAGATTTAGCACACGAATTCAAGTTACAAAGTTTAAATGATCAGAATAGTTATAATTTTAACTGGAAGTCTGTTCCTGAGACGATTCCCAGAGCAGAGAGGACCTAGTGCAGTATTTCAGTCTTAATGATAAGAGCCACTACAAAAACATTTTAAGACCATTGTTATTGTACTTGTAATTGTTTGAAGCACTTTATAATGCATTATTATACCATTATTCATAAGTTCCTAATGAATCTTCTGACACAGTCTGTGTAATATTGGAAAGAAACATTATGGAGTCAATTCAAGGTAATGAAATAACTCATTATCATCTGAAAAAGGTAAAATGACCTAAATGATGTCCTCTTTTCTACTTGTGTATCCATGACTCTTAAATGTTTTTTCTCAGTGAAACATAAATAAGCACATAATGCCTGACCAAAAATACAGATTGTTGAGGAGTGACTTAACTATTAAGTCTTAAATAGAAAATGTCTATATTCTATTATGGCATATAATTATTTCCTTACCAGAAACCTGGGAAGTTAATATATAAAAATATTAGGCAGCCTAATATCTATCAGAAATACATAGCTGTCAGAAAATTTACAAATACTTTCAATTCACCAAGACTTAGAGTCTAATATTTGATCTCACCAATAGGCAGTATTTTTCCTAACAAACCTGATATTAGGGACTGTGCTTTACTTTATTCCAAGAGCATCTGACACATAGTAGCTGTTCAATGAATATTTGTTAAATGTAATTCAGTTCAAACAAATAAGGAAATAGATTTAACAACATATGCTAGATATGACCATAATGAGTTTACTAAAAAGTGATTGCCTTACACAAGGCAGAATAGGATAGTAGGAGTGTGGGCTATAGGGTCAGATTGCTGGGTTCTACTTACTCTCTTGCTTGCTGTATGACTTTGGTAAGTTGTTTCACCTCTGTAAGACTCAACTGGCTCAACTGTATGTCAGAAGTAATAATAGTATTTATCTTCACATGGTTACTGAGAGAATTAAATGGAATATTATATGTAAAGGAATTAGCATGACACCTAGAATATCATATTCAGTAAGTGATAGCTATTTTATATACAGATGGTCCCCAGCTTACCATGGTTCTACTTACAATTTTCCTACTTTATGATGCTGTGAAAGTGATATGCATTCAGTATGATCCTCAGCCACAATGGGGCTACCACCCTATAAAGTCATTGTAAGTTGAAAGTTGAAAATATCATACTTTTGATATTTTCAACTTTCAACTTTGTAGGGTTTATAGGGAAATAGCCCCATTATATATATCATATATTTTTAGATATGTACATATACTTATGTTGTACATCCTTTAGTAATATTTTATATTTTAAATCATTAGAAAGTTATTCTTGATGCTAAATTAGTATTTTATATATATATATATAATGCCTATTCCTAATCACATTTCTGTCATTATTTGTCTTGAAATAAGAACCACAGACTCAGTGACAGGAACAATCCAGACAAATTTTAATGTGCCCTTCTAAATGAAAATTATTTAATACTGTACCTCTAAATTCAGAATGTATTCCATTTTCTGAAGTTGTTTGAAAGATCAATAAACAAAATAAAAGTTCAGTCATCAATTTATAGGCAACCTGTATAACATTAAACATTGCTAAAGGGTCATAATAAATCTGTGGGCTCAGATCCAGGAAAGCTGTTAAAACCAATACCAGCCTCTTTGGGGAAATAAAATCCCAATGCATTCCATGTTGTACTTACAGTAATTATTATTTCACTTCTTCAGAATATTAATTTAAGAGACTCAAGGGAAGGATTACAGATTTTTAAGATTCAATGTGGACATTCATATAAGTAGGACTATCTGTAGTTAGCTAATTTCTTATTCTCTAGTTTGTAGTAGGCAAATAACTAATAGAAGAGAAAAAATAATTAAAAGATTCTTATCTGTGTAAAGACAACTGCCATAGAAAGATGAAAGCATGTTAGGAAAAAGTAGCTGGCCTGCTGGCCAACCAAAGCATAGGCATAAATGTTTAAAACTGAAAAAAAGATCTGTCCTATATTTTTCCTTTGATTTTCTAAATATCACATACCTTTTACATGAACAGCCTTAACAAAAATGGCCAGGACTCCCCAGAAAAGCAAATGGTTCTTCATCTTGACTTCACTTCTTCTGAAAAACTGGAGCAAAAAAAGTCAGGGTTAAGGTGTGTGATCTATAAGGAGTGTGCAAATGATGGTGCTTCTGCTTTCTTAAAATAACACTCCAGGCAGCTAACAAACTAAAAACAATCACAACTGTGGTTGAAGTCTGAAGTTTAAATGCCGAACTGGAAAAACGTATGACTCACATTTAAGTATTTCCTTGCAAAGCATCCAAAAAAAAAAAAACCCCATAATTTGATGCAATCATTTTTATTTTGCATTTACACCATATAAATGTTTAAACCAGAAGACTAATAATAATTTCAAAGAAGGATTCCATTAAGAATGTTGAAATAGGGACTTTCCATTTTATTACCTAGATATATTCATATTAGTCTTCAAATCAGATATCTGACATTTGCCATGCCTAGAATAATAAATGAAGTGAAGTGAAGGAGGAGAGATGAAGGGAGAGAAATGAAAGTCCTTTAAGGTCCCAAGTGTACCTTATGTTAATTTTTTATACTAGTCCTTAATTAACCAAGCTATCAGATTTAAATACATATTTTGTATATACCTTACAAAATATATACGTTGTATATACCTTACAAAATATATACATTGTATATACCTACAAAATATATGCATTGTATATTTCTTACAAAATATACGCATTGTATATTCCTTACAAAATATATACGTTGTATATACCTTACAAAATATATATTTTGATTACTTTCAGTTATTTTATAAGCTGAAACATGGAACTGGAATTAGAAACTGGTAGACACTCAGCTGCGCACAGTGCCCCACACCTGTAATCCCTGCACTCTGGGAGGCCCAGGCAGGTGGATCACTTGAGGTCAGGAATTGGAGACCAACCTGGCCAACATGGTGAAACCCTGTCTCTACTAAAAATACAAAAATGAGCTGCACACGGTGGCGAGCGCCTGTAATCCCACCTATGCAGGAGGCTAGAGCAGGAGAATCACTTGAATCTGGGAGGCAGAGGCTGCAGTAAGCCGAGATGGCATCACTGCACTCTAGCCTGGGTGACAGAGGGAGACTCTATCTTGAAAAACAAGCTGGTAGATACTAGATAAATAAGTTGCCATATTTTAATTTGATAACATTAAGACAGACCTTGTGTCTAGTTACACCTTTCAGAATTGTAAACCCATAAGATGATTTGTATTTGAGATGCCTCAACAGAAAACTGAATCACTGCAGTATTTTGTGTAAAAATTTTTTCACTTAATTAGTGTCATTTTTTTCTAACCGAGCTTTTGGGGAGCACCCCCTGCACTCCCACTCCAACATGCTAGAATTTCCTCTCTCTTAGGCAAGGTTGGTTCCAAGAATATGCTGGTTACACAACAGCATCAAATCTGTGTTACTTTTGGTTCTCAGCTCTAATTTTTGAAGAGACTCCTAGAATTTTAAGAGGTAATTAGGAGTACTTCAGAATCATAAGTAAGCCAGGCTGACTTCAAAGCTAGAAGTACGAAATGACAGGATGAAAGAGACATTAAAGGCTAGCACATGATTGCACTTCTTCAAAGAGTATGTATTGAAAGTCTGTAAGAACAAAGTGCCAGGCACTATCACACGCAATATTACTATACTGTCAAAGTTTATCCTTATGTTAATTTCTACTATCAGTGGGACTTAGGAACTACTTGAGTTTAGGGAAAATATACTGGCATCACACGAAGAGTTTATTAAAAAAAGAAACAGACCTGAAAGCACATTATTTTAGTTTGTGGTCAGGATGTCAAAACAACTATCAACCACCCTAAAAGATCCTCACCCCCAACTGAAGTTTCTAAATAAATGACTTATTCAATTACTCAAAAAAAAAAAAAGGTTAATTAATAGTGAGCTAGATACCTTTTTAATTCTTGAAAAATAAACTCAAGGCTAGACTGCCTTCCCAAAGCAAGTTGGACAAATCCTTGGGAACAAATTAAAGCTTCTCTAAAAGTTTCTTTTTTTTATAACAGCAAAGATTGTTTAACTCATAATTACTAACCTAAGAAAAGCTCTGTATTTGATATTTTCATTCTTCCATTCTTGCTTTTTTTTTTTTTTTTTTTTTTTGAGACAGAGTTTCGCTCTTGTTGCCTAGGCTGGAGTGCAATGGTGCGATCTCAGCTCACTGCAACCTCTGCCTCCTGGGTTCAAGCGATTCTCCTGTCTCAGCCTCCCAAGTTGCTGGGATTATAGGCATGTGCCACCATGCCCAGCTAATTTTGTATCTTTAGTAGAGTAGGGTTTCTCCATGTTGTTCACGCTGGTTTCGGACTCCCAACCTCAGGTAATTTGCCTGCCTCGGCCTCCCAGAGTATTGGGATTACAGGCATGAGCCACTGCACCCAGTCAATCTTGCATTTTTATATTTTGATTACGTAAACTATAAATCTAAAATAAATTGTGTTAATAAAAATAAGGTGTGACACATTTGTTATTAGAAGAGAATTACCTGTGCTGGCAACACAGGATCTGGACTAGTGTTTTGCCTTGTGTGCTGTAGGGATCATCTGACTAGAACCACTTGTAGTACTGGTTAAAATATGGATTTCCTGGCAACACTCAGAATTTCTGGAGATGTGGCCTTGGAATATATATTTTCAAAGAGCATCCCAGTTGATTCCGATGTGCATTGAAGTTTGCAAACTAATGGGAAAAAAGGCTGGCCTGGAGCAGGAGGTAAGGGGGTGCAGAATAACTAGCAGCATTAACTATCTATGGAAGAACAAAAGGTTAATAAAGGTAATTTTTAAATAAATAGTCATACTGAAAAGTTAGCTGAAGTTTGTATTTGCTTATAACTCTGTGCTGTAGGTAAGCTGTTGCATATTCTTTTTATAATTAACCTACTATATACAAATGCAAGTTCCAGTTTAATTTTTAAACCATTTCTTTACCAGTTTTAGTTATGTTTTTGCCACTAAAAAAAAATGTAAAATGTGAATAGTAGAACTCTTTACATGTGTGTTAAGTGATTGAGAACTTAGCCATGTGTTCTAAATTCTTAGCAAAAAAAAAAAAAAAAAGCCTTATTTTTCTACACTTACATTTAAGATTTGTGTGGTAAGAGATTCAGTGATAGACTTAGCCGGATGAAAGAGATCTTAAAGGTAATTTAGTCTCACGTTCATGACTCTCAAATTTTTTTTCAATGTTCTATACAGCTAAATTCAGCATTTATTTGAAAATCATCCAAAATAGTTGGATGCTTCACTCCCTCTGGACACAGCTCATTGTATTTTGGGATATTCAAACTGTGACAAGACTTTATTCTCATGGGACACAGAGAATATTACTCCCTGTTTTCCTCCTGTCTCACTGGTGACTCCTTCTGGGTCTCTTGCTAAATTTTCCTCTGAATATTGAGGGCATCAAGGCTTAATTCTCATCTTTTCTATTCTCTTAGCCTCTCCCTAATGAATTTTACCTTATTCCATGCCTTTAACATAGGGCACACTGAGGACTCTTAAATGTATTGCTTTAACTTTGACCTTGCCCATTGAGTTCTAAATGCCTATGTCCAACTTTGTATTTTATATCTCTGTGTAGCTATCTAAATGGGTATCTAAAACTTAACCATGTAAAACGGTACTCTTGATGACCAATCCACCCTCACACTCACATACCAATCTCTTTCTGTCTCAAGTTTTCCCCCATCTCAGTAAATGGCACCTCCATCAGTTACTCAAGCCAAAATCCTCTTCTTCGGTTCCTTTCTTCTCCTCTCCCCTACATCCAATTTACCAGCATGACTGGTCGGCTTTCTCTCCAAAACATGTCCCAAATTCATCTGATTCTCTCCATTTTCACTACCAACCTAGTCCAAGCCTCCATCCTCTTTCCTAGACTACCATAATAATTTCTATAATTAAAAAGTAACTTTTCCTTTCCATCAGCATTGGTGACTAAGGCACACAGATCATAAACAAAAATGACTAAGTACCACAAATCTAAAGCAAGCCAAATACTTCCTCCAAGGTTTGTTAAGAGGCAACAAAGCCAAACACAGCGGTGCATGCCTGTAGTCGCAGCTACTCAGGAGGCTGAGGCAGGAGGATCGCTTGAGGCCAGGAATTGAAGGCCAGGCTAAGGAAGGTAACAGTAGTTTTCAATGTGTAACTATTATGTGCCCATAAAAATTTTTTCTAAAAAGAGGCAACAAAACTCAATCTACTTCCATCAACCACCACTCCACCACTCCCATACACTCTCATCTTGTCTTTAGAAGACCAGGGAGGGAAGAGGGGGAAGAACAACAGCTGCTACCTTGTTGAAATCTTAGTGTTTGTAATAAGAGACTCCCACACACATATCCCACCTCGTTTCACCCTTAGGAGAGTAGAGACTAAAGGTGGGGCACTTTCCGCTCCCCAGATTCAAGTGAGGGAGAGTTTCAAGAAAATCCCTCAAGAGATCAGGGACCTTAAAAGAAGGGGAGGTTGAGAAGCAACATAGCATAATAGTTAAGAGAAAGGGCTCTGAGCCTGACTGATAGGGTTTATCCGCCAATTCCACCACTCTCTAGCTAGGTAACACTGGACAAACCTTGAACACATCACTTAATCTCTCTTAATTTCCTCTATCTGTAAAAGGGGGAAAATAACAATATATGCTTCATAGGATTGTTGTCAGGGTTAATATTTATTACATCTATTACATCATGTGAAGAAGTTAGATCTTGGCACACAGTAAGCGTTATGTAAGTACTAGTTACTTATTATTATCATCATTGTCATCATTATGTCTTAACTCCTTGTGGAGTTGCAGAAAATGCAGCTACCAACTGCAATGAAGTTTGGGGAAAGCATTCCTGGGAGAACTTGACATGGTCCCTTGGGTTGTGGATGTGTAGGAACATAAAAAATGATACATGATCATGCTGTATAAAGTATAAATGAAAATATGCAGTTTCCAACTTAGGATGGGTGAGGAGGAAGTACACTTGGAAGATATGTTAGCTTTATTTGTAATAGCCTTAACCTGGAAGCAGTCTAAATGTCCAACAA